GAGAGAGAGAGAGAGAGAGAGAGAGAGAGAGAGAGAGAGAGAGAGAGAGAGAGAGAGAAAGAAATGAAGTAGCTGCCATGCGCGTAGCCATGGAGGTGTGCTGAAAAGATGGATTTTTTTTTTTCCTGGTACTCGACAGCAATCCGGTAGGGGCATACTGCAAATTTGGAACAAGTACTGTTGGTAGGGGCATAACAAAAATATTTCAGGAGATTTCTTCTTTCTTTCTTTCTTTCTTTCTTTTTTTTTTTTTTTAAAAGAACGTCCAGGTTGTTGTAGAGGTTGGAATCCAAACTATGGCAGTCACCTTCCTTCGTCGGTCGGCCATTCTTACAACAGTCACCTTCCTTGTTTTTTTTTTTTTTTTTCCCTGTAAGAAAGTTCAGGTTCACAACAACAACAATAAAAGAAAAAGGAGATTCATTCTGCCAACAGTTCTTTAAGCAACCATCTGCGGCAAAACTGTTCACGAGTGCCTAGAGCTGCATGTTCCCTTTGGGGGACCGGACGCGAAAGGGAACCCGGTGCTTCAGACCCTTTGGCCACAACCAAGCGTCCCCGGGGGCGGGGCTTTGGGGTAGCGGCGACCTGGGTCGCTCGCTCGCTCCTGCGAGAAGTGTGTGCCGTTTACGTGGGACAAAGGCAGGCAATGTAGGCTGACACAATGTGCATAACATATTTTTTATATTGTGATAAAAAATCGGAGTCCATCCCGCAAGATCCACATTGGCCGATCGCTTAGCTGGGAGCCTGGGGCTTATCAGAGCTTCTGTCATTCAACTCACCACATCGTAGACGTAGATGGCACCGTCCTGCGACCCGGTGTAAATGTATCGCTGCCCCGTCCTGTAGGTCAGTCAGTCAAACACAACAGCAGGGGATAATGGTCAAGCTCGCAAACATTTTTTTTATGAAAGGTTACTTATGAAAGGTGGAATTCAGAACATACTGCGGTGCATCCTGTGCGTGGGGTCGCGGCACATGCAGCGCAGAGCGCACGTGGTGCGGCACATCACCCAAAAAAAAAAAAAAAAAAAAAAAAAAAAAACCATTTGAAAGGACGGTGGGGTGGCGAAACATGCCCCTCGCTTCTAAAAAAAATCAGAAAGCAAGAGGGAAAAAGGTCGGGGCCATGCAATACCCCAAAACTGTGGGCACATGTCTGTGTGTGTGGGTGCACATGTCCTAAAAATGTGTCCAGTCTCTTTTCCGAAAGGCCCCTACAGCAAATTAGCGAGGACCCCACGTGGAGCAGAGACTTTAAAGTTCAAACTTCCAGTTTGTATGCGTGCGGGAGAATATATAGTCTGGATTCGAATTGAGGCCTGTGCATCATGGTTACGGGTCAGTAATTCTCTTTTTTCTCGTTTTTCTTTTCTTAGGAATACGTGCAGTGGCCCTAAGGGCCTCTACTCACCACATGCACAAAAGACAAAACATATGGCGACGTATTCTTCCACGTTCTAGCAGAAGATTCATTCTAATTTTACACATTTGGTTAGTGCAGCCAAGCCCTGAGAATCACGTGCAGAGACCAACAGGGCCTAGCTAAGTGAGCAACCCATAACTGCTGAAACACAGACCTGAATTCCAATCCTAAGTATATATTTGGCCAGCTCGTGCTTCACTTCATATTCACCGCCTGCCTCGATTTTGGTGGAGGGTCTGCGCTAAATTGCTCCGAGGACCCTTCAGATTACCTGCATGGGCCCTCTGATACGTGTGAACTTTGAAGGGGATCCGTTGCTCTCTCTCTCTCTCTCTCTCTCTCTCTCTCTCTCTCTCTCTCTCTCTCTCTCTCTC